GGGGAGAGATAAATGTTAATGTGTTGTTTGTTCCTCAAGTGTATTATTTTACTGTATATTATACTATAATTGTTAAACTCTTTCCTAGAGTTTATCCTGATGATGACTGAAATATAGTCGAAACGTAGATAAATAAAAATGTTATACTATTGTTATTTATGTAATATATATACAATATCTGCAGTATACTGAATTTTTAAAATAAAATACCAGACCATAATATTGGCGTACCTCGGGAACGTAAGTGCGCGAATTATCGCAGCCTGACCGTAACACAATACCTTTAGGAAATTGTAGCAAGTGCATGTTGACTGTTGAAACACATAAACGCTCTGAATTGACTTTCTGTTCACTTAGGTGTCACTGACATTGCCACAAGTACAAACGCAAAGTGAATACTACACAGAACAAGAAATGGTATGTGTAGTTATTAAAACATTCCTATAATCACACCTAGTAAGAATTAACACTGCCTTCCTGTGCTTTTAGTTGAAATTTAAGAAACCAAAGAAAAGGAGAAAAATTAAAAAGCGAGAAACGCTCAAGGTAATACAGACTCTTGTGAATAAACACGAAAGGATTTCTTGCTTGGGTCTTGTGTGGTATATTATAATAGAGATTGGATTAATGCTACATCGTTTAAATCTGAGATATTTTCAACAGGCAGATGATTTGATACCATTAGAAAACTCAAGAACAGCTGATCATGGATCAAGGTAACTTTCTGTTGCTGTTGTCATGCGCTGGCAAACATAATTCACTGTTTCTTTTCATTCAGGAATTCAAGACAAGCTTCGGTGAAGAAGAGCAAACATGAATCCACACAGGTAGTGAGTACTTAGCGAGATTGTTTCATGTCATGACAGTCAGTAAACTAATGGCACGTTGTTATGTAGGATGATGTTATGGAATGGCAAATGGCAGACCCTGATGATGGTATGAAAATCATGGTCGTTCAATATATAAATTATTGTTCTCATTTTGCCGTCTTGTATAAAGAGAATATCAACTCCTGTTAATTTAGTTGCCATCCAAGGTCCTGACGTGAATGATCAAGAACCTTTAATTGAAGATGATGATGCACAACTCGAGTTACAGTTAGCTCTCGAGAGGTATTTACATTGATAACTTTCTTTAGTTCTATGCAAGTTGTACTAATAGTGCAATACATCGAGTCTCGGTAACTTTCTTTAGTCTATGCAAGTTGTACTATTAATAGTGCAATACATTGAGTCTCGTAACGTTCTTTTTTTAGATCACGGCGATCAAAAATAAAGAAGGAAAATGTTGGAGCGGAAAAGGTTAACATAACTTTCTGTTTGTTCTAGGTCTAACATATCAACAATTTGGTATCAGGTGGTCATTCCATGTCGCACTTTTTCTGAAATGTGAGGAGTACCCCTGACGTAGTTGTTAGGTCATCTATTTCTTTATTTCAGGTTATTGAATCACTAACTTCAATATCAAATAACATGGATACAAAGTCAGCTAGCAGAAGTAAGTAATTTGGATAGCATAGTCAACAATCTTGTTGAGACCATAAGTTTGTTTTGTAAGTGTTCATACAAGCCTAAATACTGTGGACGTTTTGTAATTTTGTTCCCAGGCACAATTGTTCTAGACTCGACTTCAGAATTCTGTCGGACCCTCGGAGAAATACCGACTTACGGTTAGTATTGTTTCTGATGTTTTTCCATCAAAGCCTTCTCACCAGAAGAGACATTTCATAATGTTTTAATATTATGTTGACATTTTCATTATTACAGGCGCATCAGGAAATCGAGCAGATCTCGACGATCTGGATGAGGTATAGGTTGACTATATAAGTTTACTTTACGATACTCTATACTTGAAGTTGGCTGACAATTGTTGTCATTGTTCAGTGTTTAGCAATCAATATTTCCATTTGCAGGACATGGATGTGGAAAGGCCTGGTGACGAGGCAGGAGGTTGGGAAGTGGTGAAAGATAATAAACTACCTGGTATAAATAATGAATCAACGGTAGGTTACATAAACAATATCTCTCGTGCAATTTTAATGCATCATGCAAAAGGTTTTTCAAAGAACGAGTGTATGTTTATGAAAAACTTGTTTTATCCAACTTTTAGATGTGTACTGTAGTTGCAAGGATATGTTAACTTTATTGATTTCACTTGTTTAGTCAAAAGATACAAATGTTTTGGATGATGAGCCAACATTAGGACTGGGTGTTGGTGCTGCACTCACGTTAGTACAAAAGAAAGGTAATGGAAAATACAGGGAGATCGAAAGCTTCAACGTTTCGAGCGAAAACCCTTCATCAGGAATATTGACAATATTCACATGCAATGATATGCATGTCATGTGATACTCAATTGATACGCATTAGATACGTGTCAAATCCGATACACATGGATATAGGTGAGCGGCACTGTAACTCATTTGAATTGTTTTCATGTAGGTTTGATTGAAAGTGATAAAAAAGAGAGAAAATTTGCAGGTGGTCTTTCTCTCCCTGAGACTGTCAAGGTCATTGATGAGGAGAAAATGAGGTAACTACTAGACTTGAGTAATGATTATCACTCGAGTAACGATTGTCACGAGGTAAAATCTATCTTGTTTTCTTATTCAGAGACGAGGAAAGAGACAGATTAAGGGAAAGGTAGTAGTTTAAGTGTGGTTTTCAAAGATTCTGTGAAAAATGAAACAAATAGATGTACTTCTTGTTTGCAGAGGTCGAGATCGTGACAGAGAGAGATATAACCCTAATGCGTTCAAAGAAAAAGCTGGTTATAAACCTGATGTGAAACTTGAATACGTTGACGAACAAGGACGACATATGAACCCAAAGGAGGTAAACTTTTTCGTTGCTGTTAAAAACGTTCAAGAGCGGATTCATTTTGTGTAGGTACAAACAACCCTGTGTGGGTTCAGGAGTTGCGAGGCTGAAACAAACATGTACTTACGATATTTGCTGCCCCACAGGCATTCCGATATCTTTCACACAAGTTTCATGGGAAGATTCCGGGGAAGTTAAAGAGTGAGAAAAGACAGAAGAAATTCGCTGATGACATGGTAATATACTTTTCAATACTGTAAAAAAAAAACTTATAAAAAATGCCTTTCAAACCTTGATATTATGATAAAACTCTTTTTAGGCTCTAAAGAAGATGAATGCAGGTGATACTCCACTTAATACAGTGGCATTGTTCTCTGAGAAACAGAAGCAAGGGCAAACACCATATCTTATTCTCAGTGGTGGTGGACAAACATTCAGTGCTGGGTAAGAAATCTTGCGTTGGTCACATATCATGTCAGTCACCCACTTTCATTCTGTTTTTCTTGATTAGACCCACAATCCAAAAAGGAAAATAAAGTGGCTTGGGCAATTACATCATTTTAATGACAATGCTGAATGAAAAACATGTTATACCCTCAACAGCAATCTTTCCTCCAACTTTGATATTTGAAAAGACTCTCAAGAAAAGGTTGGCAACTAAAATTAAATAAACTTGGCATTCATTTTATGCAAAATAATTGCACCACGTGAGAAACCTCAATATTGTAAAAAAAACAACTTTAATTTGTACAATCACATTTCAAATGATGTCCTTTGCAAAAAAATGTACATCTTCATTTATTTAGTTGATAATTCAGTATGAGTCACGCTGTACATTATAAGGTATATTCAAAGAAAGCATGAAACATTTACAATCAGCAAGAACCGTTTCTTGTTCTATAATTATATAAACATCAGAATCCTCATTAAAAACTACTTACAGTCTAAATTCTTGAAGTGTCTCTCCCAAAAAGCCGACTTTTGATCCAATCAAACAGAATTAAACACTTGGTTCGGGTTGTAACAGATTCGTTGAAATAAGCAGCTTTCCACAAATACATAGCACCCAGACCTTTGAACGATCCTATCACTGGAAACTGCAATACGGCTTTATCATCTCCAATATAGGCGAACATTCCCATATGATTGTACTCAAACTGTTTCACTCCTTGTTCACTCAGGTCGCTTGCCTCGCCAATGACGTCTGAATGCTGTGAAAATAACTTGCCCAAATATTTCCCTTTCTGACTTGCAACTTGAGCTGTGCAAGGTAGACTGGTTAATTTGTTGTCAACGGTTTTGAGAAGTTTCTCAAATTCTTTAATTCCAAGACATCCATCTGCATTTGCATCTGCTTCGTTAAATGCACTAAATGGAAAATATTTAATAGGATTCAGTCATGAGAAATGACTCACATTGAGCGAAGTCTGCCCTAGTTCTAAATAAATACTGATGTGAAGGATTTTACCTTTGCAAGCTGTTATCCCAATCTTCACCAGAAAAATGTTTACAGATCTGAGGATACTTGTACCGTGCATGCTCCATAGCAGCTAGAGTGAACAGAATAAATATTGAGGATCATGCAGGGCTGTATTTGAAATGTTGATGTTTCTCTTGTGTTGGTCTGGTACACATAGCTCAAAATTGGAACAACATTTCTTGGTTTACCTTTAAATTCTTCCAAACTTAGTTTTCCATCACTATCTTTGTCAGCTTCAGTAAATATTTCCTTCACATCGGATAGAAGTTTTCTTTGTTCGATAGTACAGCAATCCCCCATAGCATAAATATGACCATTGGAGTTCTTCACTTGCAGATAATAATCAGTCAACAAGGCATGTCTGAAGAAACATGCAAATATAGACGGTCCTTCACATGTACTGTACGTACCTGATTTCAAACTTAACCTTTTTAGTGGCAATGCACCCCTGATGCGCCCTACAGTACTTTAGTAGTATTTTACTCTGTCTAATGCCATACTATTTTACTCATCGTGTGGAAAGTGCTTGTCAATAGGTTCATTAAACATTTTACAACATGTAGTCTGAATAACATGATTACCTGTTTGTTTGTCCAGGTATTTTTTTCATAATTTTCTTGGTGAGATCTTGTGGTGCAATGCCTGTTGACCAAACACATGTTCCAAATGGAACTTCAATTAATTCATTTGTTTCCATTTTCTTCACTGTCACACAGTTTTTCTCAACTTTAGTGACCATGTGTTTTGTCCAAATATTGATTCCATCTTTCTTAAAGTGGTTTGTAGTATATTCTTTGATCTAGGAGAAACATTCTATTATTAGAGTATGCTGTGGTTTATTTTTGTAGATGTATCTAATGAAGTTTAGAGTGTTTACTTAGTAAAAGTAAAGTTTGAATAGTTTGCCTCACTGCCTTCAAGTATTATTTTGTTTTGCTTCTAACTCCTGAATTCATCTTAGTTGGAAGTGTACAGTACGTCACCAAGAATATGGACATAAATACAACATTTCTTACATTTTCATCATAAGCATTCAAGATCTGAGGCAAGGCTTCAACCAAGGTTACTTTGCAATAATTGATCAAGTGTGGGTAGAGACGTTTTAAATCATCCCGCACAAGATCTCTCAATTCCGCTGCAAACTCAACACCTAAAAATAAATTTGTTCAAATCTATGTTGGACCATTGAAACAATGGTAATCGTTCCATGCTTCGTGCACCAATATAGTAAACGTTATGTAATAGATATTATAGTGTACCGGTACTGCAAAGTCAACTGGATACCTCCTTTTACATATACTGTATGCACACCCTAACCTTAAACCTAACCCCTAACCTATATTGGTGTGTGAAACATGGAACGATAACCAAAACAATACTTAACAAAGTACAGTATTCAAACAGGACAGTATAAACAAGGTTTATTAAATTATTACTTGCCTGTTGGGCCAGCTCCAACAACAACAAAATGTAGCAATCTTTCAATTTCATTCTGAGGTTGGCCAGGTATTGCTGCAGTCTCGAAACAATCCATCACCGTGTTGCGTAACTTACAAGCATCTTCAACAGACTTGAGAAAATGACAGTGTTGTTTTACCCCAGGAATGTTGAATGTAGCATTATCAGAACCAATGCCAACAATCAAAATATCATAGTCCAAGGTGTATTCTGACTTGCTGCCAAGAATAGCTGAAAAAGGAACATTGAGTCAACTATATACAATGTATGTATAATTATATATCTATACCTGCAGGGTCAATTAGAGAATGATTTTCAAAAATGTCCAGGCCAATGACAGTCTACATTTTCCTTACTCCAGACCTGTCAAGGTGTTGTAAATAAAATACAGTACCTTGTAGGGGTACTATGAGTATTGACTAAGTATAGGTTAAACACTGAGAAAAGATCGGCTTTAAGCAAAATGAAAAATATGCATGAGATGGTCAAGAAATTCCAACGCATATGATAAAAATAAGGAATTTTCCAAGGGATAGCTACTAATCAAAGTATAAATATGGAAATTCCACCCTAACCCATGGGATGGATTAAAATTGAATAAAAAATCTTTGGAAATTCCAGCTAAAAATAGACAAAAAATCTCATTTTCATTGGAAATTCCAAGGGAGGCAATGTTGACCACCAAATAGCTCGGAGAATATTGCAACTGCTTTTGCCGCCTATTAAAAAGCCAACTTGTCAAAAGCCCTTGCAAGTTTCTCCAAGCAATTTGGTGATCAACATTGCAATTTAATGTTGTGACACAAATATATTGCATTGCAAGAGAACATCGATATCCGGTTTGAGTTAATACCCGAGTTATCTTTGCAGCGTATTGTCTGATTTTCGACATCCACATCAATGCATTCCCCTTCGTAAAAATTCACTGTATTTTTGTGTTTTTTATGAATGAGATTACGAATTGGCTCAACAACACTGCGTACTTCCACAGTGCCTACCGTGACTGACGGCAGAAGCGGTGTAAACAGGAAGTAATTGGCTGGAGAAACGATAGACAACTCGTACAATTCTGGCTTCAAATTGCGTATAAAATTGACTGCAGCCCAGCCTGAACCAAGGACTATAACTTTCTTTTTTCTCTCTGCAGTATAGCCATTTTGGATGCTAATATAAATGAAATAGAATCCCGATGAGATAGCACCTAAGCACATCAACTTCCAAGTAAATTTGTTCTTCACCAATCGTGTTGTCGATAGCTGACGTTTATAGCTAAACATTTGAGATTTGTTGATGTAACGAGGAATGCTTGTTATAAAACGAAGCATTTTATTTTTATTGATTTATCCAATCACTGTTTGCTGTATTTCATGTGTGAAAAATAATCCATATAAAGGATTATAAAGACAGCTGTCGCAGCAATCTCGTTCCCCGAGCATGCCCGTTCGCAGGTTAAGGGTGGGCATGGCTTATGTGGCTGGCTCTGGAGAAATCGAATTAGCCTTTCTCACGCCGCATTTTTGGGTGGCTTTTCATCCGAAGTCTGCGAGATAAAGCAACATAACAGGGACTTTTTATATTTTTTTGACTTTGGATGGTAAATTTGCTTAGAAAGGCTAATTGTTCGGGCCTGTGGTTGGCTTAGCTGGCAGATCAAGCCGGTTGTATAAAAACAAGCGTTAATCACTGTAGTTAAATCCTATGATTAGTTATTTACAGTGTGACCAGGTTTAGTACATTTTATTACCAGATCCGGTTGGATGCCCTTAGACAACCCCACCTGCTTTAAACAACTGCAACATTAAGAACAGGAGGGGGCAGCCAACCAATTTTAAGCAGCTTTAGTAAAAAAATTTGCATATATGGTCACACTGGTTATTTACACGATTTAATTGCGTTGCACAAAACGTAGTTTGTCGGATGATATAATTTCACGTAGTTAACTTGCAAACAGTAAAATTACATAAAGTAAAGTGTGATTAACTACCGCGCACAAGCATTTTTAACATGATTGTGGACTCACATTTTGCAAATAGGCGGGAATTTCATTCAAAATAGTTTTGCAAATAGGCGGGAAGTTTACTATTCAAACAAGAAAAACTCGAGGAAGAAGGCCGTTTTTACTTGAGATGTCTTCGTTAGACTGAAAATGTAACTGTTTGCCAGTTATATATCATGTTTCTTCGTGTAATGGAATGGGCCCTAGGTCGTCTTAGAGAAACGTGCAAAAAGATATTTTGTTTTCGTCAAAAAACCAAAGCGATATAGCGTTTGAAGAGTTTATATTGTTAGGAAACATTCACAGAGAAGATAGGTTATAGATAGCAATTGAAAATCCCAAGTAAGTGTTGCTTTTCATTATTCAAATTTTACTGAAAAATGTTCCCTCCTATACAATTTAGTCTATTGAACATGGCGCAACGAATTTTAGGTGCATGTCAGCATGTATAAACTGTGTAACTTTACCAAATTTTTAGTGAAGAAAGCCAAGAGAATGCTGATTTCGAAAATCTTCACGTTTGTCTACATATCTCGATGGCAGAAAAACGTGTGCGGAAAATTTCTCTTCAATGGTTTTTCTGATATGACGTCTTCCTTGACAACTTCGTGAATTATCAGTGACAAATCCAATAATCAGGGCATATCAATGTTTCCTATAGTTTGCCAAGGGCTTAACGATACCCTAAATGATATAGTTAACTCTAACTACGTTTTAACTACAGTTAACGCTGACTACATAAGTTAGCCACGATTTAAGTACAAAATAGTGATTAAAAAGTGATTAAGAGTTTTATTGTAATTTGTTACCTGTTCCATCGTTACACCGAGGCCATCATGAGCGAAAGTTGTGGACCATTCCCAGGTAAAAGTCTCGTAACTTTTCGTACAATGTTTTCTTCTCACACACTGCTGGGAGCTGCTGCAGCCGTCCGCCGCAAGCTTGACTTTTATTTACACAATAACAGCTAACACAGCTAATCATACATAGCTCTGCAACATAATTACGTTATTTACATAAAAATTACTGAGGAGTTACAAATACTAATAAGTTATATAAACGTCCACTGCATCTGACTATAATTAACGGGCGGGCGGGTGGGGATTTATGTCAAGCGTTGCGGAAGCAACAACAACATGTGCTGTCTTAACCTGCACCACCCGAACACACCCGATTCACAATCGGGCTCCCAGCCTTGTGTGAGAAAACATTTTCTGCTTCTTTCGTACCTCAGCCAGCAGAAAATAACACTTTATTTTTTGCCATTCTTTTTCCAAAAGTCTTCAAATCATTCCTCATAACAGCTTAATACTCATATTTTGATAATCTTTTGTATATTTAGACAATTTTGAGTCGATTTAACTGAACAACGCGATCAAGAGAATTATTATGCAGGGTGAAATAGAAAAACACTATCTACAGTACAGGAACAAACACAATATTGAAATGATGTAATTTGTTCCCTGTTTCCGTCGTTGACATCATGGTATAGTGGTAAACACCGAGGCCATCATGGGCGAAAGTTGTGGACCATTCCCAGGTAAAAGTCTCGTAACGTTTCGTATAATTTTTTCTTTATTTCTTTTTGCCATTATTCATCCAAAAGTATTCATATCACTTCTCATAACTGTTTAATGCCCATATTTTGATAATATTTTCTATATTTAGACAATTTTGAGTCGATTTAACTGAACAACGCGATCAAGAGAATTCTTATGCAGGGTGAAATCGAAAAACACCATCTACAGTACAGGAGTAAACACAATATTGAAATGATGTAATTTGTTCCCTGTTTCCATCGTTGACATGGTATTGTTGTAAACACCGAGGCCATCATGGGCGAAAGTTGTGGACCATTCCCAGGTAAAAGTCTCGTAACTTTTCGTATAATCTTTTCTTCATTTCTTTTTGCCATTATTTTTTCCAAAAGTCTTCAAATCGTTCCACATAACAGCTTAGTAGTCATATTTTGATAATATTTTGTATATTTAGACAATTTTGAGTCGATTTAACCAACGATGACGAGGGCATGAACAACGATGTATAGCGATGAAAAGAATTTTATATAGGGTGAAATCTAAAATATCTGCATACAGCTAGTACAACGGAAAATAAAATATTTAAGTATTGTCTCTTGTAATTTGTTACCAGTTTCATCGTTGACATCATGGTATAGTGGTAAACACCGAGGCCATTATGAGCGAAACTTGCGGACCATTCCCAGGTAAAACTCCCGTATAATTTTTCTTTATTTTTTTTGCCATATTTTTTCCAAAATTCTTCGGATTGCTCCTAGTAAAAGCTTAATACTAATATTTTTATAATATTTTGTATATTTGGACAATTTTGTTATGCAGGGTGAAATCGAAAAACACTATCTACAGTACAGCAATAAACACAATATTGAAGTAATGTAATTTGCTACCAGTTTCAACGTTGACATCATGGTATAGTGGTAAACAGCCAGGCCATCATGAGCGAAAGTTATGGACCATTCCTAGCTAAAACTCCCAAATAATTTTTTCTTTATTTTTTTTTTTTGCCATATTTTTTCCAAAAGTTTTCAGGTCGCTCCTGATATAGCTTAACACTAATATTTTGATAATATTTTGTATATTTGGACAATTTTGTTATGCAGGGTGAAATCGAAAAACACTATCTACAGTACAGCAATATACACAATATTGAAGTAATATAATTTGTTACCTGTTCCATCGTTGACATGGTATAGTGGTAAACAAGTTGTGGACCATTCCCAGGTAAAAGTCTCGTAACGTTTCGTATAATTTTTTCTTTATTTCTTTTTGCCATTATTCTTCCAAAAGTATTCAAATCGCTTGTCATAACTGTTTAATACCCATATTTTGATAATATTTTCTATATTTAGACAATTTTGAGTCGATTTAACTGAACAACGCGCGATCAAGAGAATTATGATGCCGTGTGAAATCGAAAAACACTATCTACAGTACAGCTATAAACACAGTATTGAAGTAACGTAATTTGTTACCTGTTTCTATCGTTCACATCAAGGTAAAACTCTCGTAACTTTTCGTATAATTTTTCTTTATTTCTTTTTGCCATTATTTTTCAAAAAAACTTTCTAAATCGCATGCACCTCCTATATAACAGCTGAATATTCATTTTTAGATATTTTTTGTATAAGGACAATTTTGAGTCGATTTAACCAAGGATCACGAGAGATGAACAAGGATGAACAACTCTGAAGAGAATTCTTTCCAGGGTGAAATGCAAAAAATCCACATACGGCTAGTATAACGCAAAACAGCGAGTATTGAAGTACTGCAATTTTTTAGCTGTGTACACCGATGCCTTCATGGTATAGTGGTAAAGACTGAGGCCATCGTGAGCGAAAGTTGTGGACCTTTCTCAGGTAAAACTCTCGAAACTTTTCGTATAAATTTTTCTTTATTCTTTTTGCCATTATTTTTCAAAAAACGTCTCTAAATCGCTCCTCCAAACAGCTGAAAACTCATATTTTGAGAATTTTTAGTATATTAGGACAATTCTGAGTCGATTTAAGCAAGGATGACGAGGGATGAACAAGGATGAAGAGCTCTGAAGAGAATTCTTATGTAGGGTGAAATCGGAAAAATCTACATACGGCTAGTATAACGCAAAACAGTGAGTATTGAAGTACTGCAATTTTTTAGCTGTTTACATCATTGCCTTCACGGTATAATGGTAAAGACTGTGGCCATCATGAGCGAAAATTGTGGACCGTTCCCAGGTAAAACCCTCGAAACTTTTCGAATAATTTTTTCTTTATCCTTTTTGCCATTATTTTTCCAAAAGTGTCTCTACATCGCTCCTCCATACAGCTGAAAACTCATATTTTGAGAATTTTTTGTATATTAGGACAATTCTGAGTCGATTTAACCAAGGATGACGAGAGATGAACAAGGATGAAGAGCTCTGAAGAGAATTCTTCTGTAGGGTGAAATCGAAAATATCTACATACGGCTAGTATAACGCAAAACAGCGAGTATTCAAGTACTGCAATTTTTTAGCTGTTTACATCATTGCCTTCATGGTATAATGGTAAAGACTGTGGCCATCATGAGCGAAAGTTGTGGACCGTTCCCAGGTAAAACTTTCGTATAATTTTTTCTTTTTTCTTTATTCTTTTTGCCATTATTTTTCCAAAAAAGTCTCTAAATCGCTCCTCCAAACAGCTGAAAACTCATATTTTGAGAATTTTTTGTATGTTAGAACAATTCTGAGTCGATTTAACCAAGGATGACGAGAGATGAACAAGGATGAAGAGCTCTGAAGAGAATTCTTCTGTAGGGTGAAATCGAAAATATCTACATACGGCTAGTATAACGCAAAACAGCGAGTATTCAAGTACTGCAATTTTTTAGCTGTTTACATCATTGCCTTCATGGTATAGTGGTAAAGACTGTGGCCATCATGAGCGAAAGTTGTGGACCGTTCCCAGGTAAAACTTTCGTATAATTTTTTCTTTATTTCTTTTTGCCATTATTTTTCCAAAAAAGTCTCTAAATCGCTCCTCCAAACAGCTGAAAACTCATATTTTGAGAATTTTTTGTATATTAGAACAATTCTGAGTCG